AGGAACGGACTAAGATGTCAAAGTCAGACAGGATCGGAAAGGCAAGATACGCCTTCATCAACCTAAAACCAATTTAGAAATCTTCCGCCGTCACTCAGCATAGGGAACAAGATTCGGATTTTCAACACCAATGTGAAGTCGGTTTTTTTATACAGGTCAGAAACTTGGCTAGCGTGTCTCGAAAAGGATTTCCAACAGCCTTTTGCAGACTTTCATCAACAACTGCCCACTACACTGGCTCCATAGTGACGATCAAATGGCCGGTCAGAAGGAATTAGCAACAAGAAACTCTGTCTGGGAACAAACCAACAGGCAAGAGCCGATCGCTCAACAAATATGTGAGAGAAAATGGAGATGGATGGATCGGGCATACATTGAGGAGACCGTCGAATGCCATCCCATGCCAGTCCACTGCCTGAGTGGTATCCCAATGGGAAGCGACGAGTGGGTCGTCAGTGAGAGGATAACATGGAGGAGATCGTGTTTGGAAGAGATTATTGACAATCGTGGACACAGCTGAAGTGGACGGCAGAAGATAGGACAAAGTGGAGATGTGTTGATGAAGCCGAATGTTCCACTCGGAACGCAAGGGAATAATAATTATAATCTACTGCTACAGTTTCCACTCCTGGCTACCATTATTATCATTATTATTATTATTGTTATTATTTAACTCGTGAAAAATTCCCATCCGAAGATTGATAAAACAAGACCAAGTAGTTCAGCGGGGGAGGGGCTCTTCTCGGCGAACTGGTTTCCCCGTTTACCTGTACAATATGATGAGTTGCCGTAAGCATACTTATTAGTATTCATCAATGTATAAAAGGAGTTGAGTAGGTGTATTAGAGTTACGTAATAAGATGAATAATTTAATGAGGTAGTGAAGAAGCACAAGTGTTATAAGAAGTTTGAAAAACCCCAACTGTTTCAACTGGGTTGGGTATCGATTAGTCTTATATGAAACCTAACTATATCTCTTGCTACTCGTGTCCAACGTATCTGAGCAGCCTTGATGCGCTCTGGAAGAGGGATTACACTTTTTAGAAAAAATCTCCATGCCAAACGAACATCCACCAAGATTTATGGACAAGAACATCAAGCCAGAAATTCAAAGATGAGAGACTCGTCATCGATGTCAAAAACAGAAACTTTGCATGAACGCCGACTTCATAGGTGACCTACTCAGTGGTCTTCTTAAGAGGAAAATGTCGGCTTCCTTAAGAAAAACCATCACAGCAACCCTAAGGGTAGTGTTCTTCAGTTGCCTACTGATCTGCAGAAGGCCAAAGGACAAGATTTCGTATTTAACCACTTCTCTGTGCATATATCAGTTCATCTGTTGCTGTGCAGCTAGATATTTTGGTCGTTCGACCCCTATCCTGTCCATAAGGGTTCAAGAACACTATCCCACCACATGACCGTAGTGTTTGTGTAAGAAGCGCGATAATCAGACATTTTGTCAACACTGGTCATTCCATCTCAACAAACGCCTCTTTCAAAGTAATCTGCAAAGTGTAAAGCAATCTACCAAAGTCAATACGCCTTCATCTCTTTTGCATTACTAAAGTTCTAGCCATTCAGACAGCGAAAATGGAGTTATGAGTACAAAAGAAAATTACCCAACCACCTCTATCATTATGGTAACAATCGTGTTGATTTCTACTGACTTATGTGATTGTACAGTTAGAGGGAATGAATTCTGTGAAAAGAGGCTCTTCGCTGAACTATTATTAGCCTTATTTAATGCAATTTTAGATTTTCCCGTCGATTGATTGGACCGAAGTGCTCAGTCTCAGGTTGACATGTCGGCTCCTTGTGCAGATGCTTCGACGATGTCTAGTCATGTAACTTGAAGTTAATTGGTGGATGGTGACTAGCAGTGGAATCCAGAATGTGCATTTGGTCCTATTCGGGACTCGTCATCTGGGTGTACTTGCATTCCCTAGTGAGTGAGTGGTGGTCTCCCCACCGAGACTTGAATCCAATGCCAATAGTTTTAAACGCCAAAGCGTTATCCACTAGACCTGTTGCAAAAGGAATGGCTTTCGGGGCACATGTGCTCTAGTGGATAACGCTTTGGTTCTAGCTTCGGTGGGGACACCAACACTCACTTACTAGGAAATGCAGGTACATCCGGACGGCGAGTCCCGCATAGGATGAAATGCGCGTTCTGGATTGCAGTGCTAGTCAATATCCATCCACCAATTGACTTCATATTTTGGTTTTTTTTTTATTGTTTACTCACTCGGTGTGCAGCTCTTACTTGCCTTGGTTTCACTTGGCTTCCTAAATCTGGGTTGGTGCAACTGACTTCTAACCCTTGCCTTAGTTGATGCACACTCCTATGGCTTAAACTAATAAGTCATATTTCCATATTTTTAAGTCAGAAATCTACGATATTCTGTAAATTTTCTGGCAATATTAATCACCATAATAGCTTTATTGTTGACAGTACACTACGTTTGTTACAATGTGGGGAATTCTCAGTATACGGTACAATGTTGAGTCTAATTTCCTCTTTACATTACACAATATGCGGAAAAATAATTAAGAGAACAATTATTTGGTTCGTAGGGATTTAATTGATTGGTTACAGGATTTCATCATGAGCTGACATCGTATAGAGAACCATTGAAAAACCAGTACTGGAAAGCTACCTCATTGTAGTTTGGAACTCATTGACAGTACTCATCCACCGACATGGTTCGAACCCAGGACCTTCCAGCTACATGGCGAGCTAGCTCGTAAACCACCAAACTACTAGGACCCGATCCAATGGTCAGCCCATGAATTCCAACTTCTGCCAATTCACAACACAGCGCAACCACTTCACAATGTCTTCTTAGATGAGTAACTGTGCTCACACCCGACCTGCTGTACCCTACTAAACACGGCTTTACACTAGAACCCCAGGTAACTACCTACCTGAATTGTGCCAGTCGCATTTGTATTCAACTATTGGTTTGTAGGGATATAATTGTTTTAAAGCCCATCGGATTGGGTCCCAGTGGCTCAATGGTTTACGAGCTAGCTCGCCATGTAACCAAGGAGGTCCTTGGTTTGAACCTCGATGAATGCATACCATTGAAGAGTCCCAAAACTAGGACGAAACAGCTGTGCAGTACGGGATTCCCAATGGTTCTTCAACCGATATCAGCTCCTGATGAAATGCTGTTACCAATTAACATCACATTTACAGGAATAATAATATCAATAATGATATATGAATGCAAAATTAAAAATTAATTATAAATAGTGACAGCAATATAATAATAATGATGATATAAAGAATAAAAAGCGCCGTTTACTGAGTGTTTCTCAATAAGTTGGTTGTTTTTCGTCTCAAACTTTTCTCACCACATACAATATTTACCAAATAATGCATAGTAGAGTTTTTATATTTAGTTGTTTGAACATAATGTCTTTTATGGTTATTTCAAGTCCTACCTGTTGAGTAACAAGGAGAGAGCTGTGTAGAAGGAGGATGCTCAGAGTCTGACAAGATGTGATATTCGCCAATTCTTTCATTAATTACATCACGAGTCTATCTACAACAGTTTTAACGAATTAGCTTAGTGACAATTCACTCACCTTACGGACGGCTTTTAATGCCCTTCGCAGTGTAACAGAGTCTTTCTTAAATAGCCTCAGGAAAGATTAAGAGTAGAGGAATAAGGAAGAATAACAGAATTAACAAAGTAGTTTCACGCTAATATATATTCGTCAAGTAAATCTCAAGTGATCGATCTCAGTTTTGATCACGAATTGATCTGAGTTAGAAGGAACTATTGGTAACCAGAGAGTACTAGGCAGCTGTTTCGTCCCTGTTTGGGACTCTTCATCAGTACGCGCCAGTGATTTCAACAGGAACTAGTGAGGTCTGCCAAGGCAAGCGTGAGGATAGATACTCACCGATGACACTGGCTGTCTGTGGCGCAATACGTGTTAAAGTGGATGAAGTTGGAAAGGATTGGCCATTGGATTCCGTCCCAGGGGCTGAATGGTATAAGAGCTCACCTTGTAACCTGAAGGTTCTGAAATCGAACCCTGATCAGTCCATAGACGCCTACCACTGAAAAGCCACAAAGAAGGTTGAAATAGTGGCAAAGTTCAACAGTAGCGTCTCAGGAGTGTGAACGCTCCAAAGACCTTGAACGCCTGGTAGTCGTTGGCTTATGGCACCTGTCATGATCACAGCTGAAATATCAACCCTATTCACCAACTAAGCAGCGAATTTCACCCAGATCACGTTTTTAAGTACTGTTTGGACAATGTGTTAATAGCTCGTTAGGGTTAGGATTAAAGTTAAGGTAAGTATTGGGGTTAGGGCTACGATCAGGGTTAGAATTACGGTTTGAATAAGGGTTATGATTAAGGTTAGGTTTAGTGTTTGGGTCAGGATTAAACTTATGGTTACGATTAGGGATAGATTTATATAGTTGATGTCATTTATTTTAATTTGTTATATTATCCACGTTTTCCTCGTAAGTAGTCGTCTATCCTCTTGCTGGAAACCATAAAAATTCAACCGAGAGCTTTTTTGGAAGACTGCAAGCAGGATGAGAGAGATAAGCGATTCACAAAAACAGTTTATCTGTAGTCATCTCGGTGAATACATGTACAGAAACTAGTCTAACTTAGCAACCGATAGTCCTCGTTACAAATAGAACGTATTTTTAAGCCATGTCAGAGAAAGATAACCTGTTTAATGTGTTTTCGTGCATTTTCTTGTCAATATACATCATTTTTTGAGCAAAAATATCTCATTTGTATGATTGGTCAGCTGAAGGTCACTTGTGCGTTCGCACTTCTGAGACGCTATTGTTGAACTTTGCTGAAGTAGTCATCCAATGATCCTCCAAATGAAGTCAATTCGTGATCGTAATTTAAGTTGGTTCTATGAGTGTGTGTATGTGAAGAATAAAAAATGATTTCTTCAAATTTTCGCCTTTTTTTCACTAAACACTTTTTTTCCTTTTGTGTTGTTGTGTGTCGTCTAGTCACCTGATCTATGCGTAGCTTTAGTCGGTGGAATGGATTCAGGCAAGTCGACATTGATCGGTGTATTAACAGACGGGGAATTGGATAATGCACGTGGCAAAGCTCGATTAAATCTATTTCGTCACTTACATGAAGTTCAATCGGGTCGTACCAGCAGTTTAAGTCGTGAGCTGCTGGGCTTTGATGCTGATGGCAATGTCACTAACTATAAATACGCTGATGGAAGAGTTTATCGAAGATCTGCAGAAGAAGTGAGTTTTATTATTATAATTATTATCATTATTGTAATTATTTATTGGCATTATGTCGTCAGTTATTTGAGCGAAATAGTGAAACCTTGTAATTATTTCACCATTATTACTATTTTTAGATTGGTTATTTATCTATTGTCCAATCAGAATTCGATTTTTTTAATCTGTACTCTAAACACTGTATTCTGATTGGTTGTTTACTTGACGAATGAATGATTACTTTGCTACTATTGGCTGAATGAATAACTCAGAGAAGAAAGGCTTGTAGAATTAATTATGTGCATATTGATGATATTTTTACAGTTCGCGCTGTACTTTAATTATTATAATTACGGTTAAAATGGTGCTGTCTTCACGGTGTACTTTTTGTTTTTACCTCAATTTACACGCTTGTAAATGGATTATAAAGTACATGAATTGCGTAATATTTGTACCTTCTCAGACTGTGTATACTGACATGCAGTGAACTAACTCCAATGTTGGTTAAATGATTGACACAAGTTCATGATGGTTATTTGGTTGGAAAGCCTAAGAAATATGACACCATGGAAAAGGATCTGAATGGCCTAAAAGGAGTTCTCATTGAAAATGGCTACTGTGAAAGTTTCGCCACAAAATCCACGAAGCCTGCAACAGTGAAACCACAACCATTTCCTTACCCTAAAAGATTTCTTTATTTGAATCTATTTGAATTCAGTGGAGATACATGCTCAGAAATACTGAAAAACTGTCCGTCAGGTGAACTTCCATTCAATTTCTCTAAAGAAGACTGATGATTCGCATGTGAACGTGAAGGATTAGATTACCAATTCTGCCCTCACTTACTCCTATGGAGCTGGGTATGTCTGACGTACTCAGCGTTTACTATCCAGGCGTATTATCGAACATTTATCCTCATGGTTTTATAGAGTAGAAGAAAGAACTCCCCCCCCCAGCTCTATCTAAGAACATCCGATCAACTCTGGACATCGAATGAACTCCTAAAATATCTTCAGAGTCATTTACAGATTACACAGAAATCTTGCTAAAGAGGAGTGCAGATCAGGTGATGACAATCCACATGTTAAGTCTCGAACTCTGCATACAGAAGAAGTTTTTTCAATCACTGAACCTACCATATTAGACGTAATCTCTCTTAAAAACGGATATCTAATTCTTTTATTTTGTTATTTTATTGCTTTTCTACCTCCTCTTCCCCTCTGCTATTACATTTCTCATCGTCACTGTTCTTAACTTGACTGCCTTTCAACATTGAGTTGAGCTCTGCTCAGTGCATTTCGGATTGTGAGGGCGATTGTTACTTCCCGGCTGCCCACACTGTGGTAGTTGGTTGCGTGACCGCAGAGCCCAGGCGACAACTGCTTGAGGCCGGTCACACGCGGCCTGTTTTTGTTTGTTCTTTTTCATTTGGTGTGTCTCAGTAGCATATTTATCACTTCTGCCCTTTGACACGGCAGCAGGAAGCGCGATCGTTGTTAATCCGGGCCCCGACCGATCCGGTATGATATTTTGTGATTTACTTTGAGTCATAGCATTGGGTAGGGTAACTGATTTTTGTCTAACCGCTATCCAAACAACCTTTCTGGCATGGTAGGATCTCAAGCGATATAAGTCTCAGCCAGCATAGCTTGTTGGGTCATTGCGGTGTTCAAGCCCGACCACCACGTCAAGGTAGCAGCTTTCGGTCGGGTCTGCTCAGTGCTATTAATTATATTACTTCACTCAGTTTGCTTATTTAATTTTACTTGAGTTTTTACCCGATTACTGAAACCAGTGTGGTAATATACTGCACTCATAATAAAGAACAAAATTCGGATTTTCAACACGAATGTTAAGTTAGTTCTTCTAAATGGCTTAGAAATTTGCGGTGCGTGTCAAAAAAGTATTTTCAACAGGTTACGGTAGACTTTTTTCAACCGCTGCCTTCACTCGATACTAAAGATCAGATGCCTAGTGGAAAGAATTAGGAACCAGAAACTCTGGAAACAAATCAGCTTAAAATCGACTGTCGAACAAATATTATGGAAGAAAATGAAGGTGGATTAGATAGACGGTGAGGAGACTGTCGAATGACATTGTGCACCTTACCTCTCGAGTGGAATCCCAATGGGAAACAATGAGTAGCGCGTCCGACAGTGACATGGAGGAGACTAGAGACTATGGAAAACGTATGGTCAACTTAAAAGGACAAAACGGAGATGTCCTGTTGAAGCCCTATGTTCCATCCGGAACCCAAGGGATTGATAATAATTATTATTATTACTATTCATGGCATCCTATTCAATATCCACTGGATAGAAGACCGTCAGTGTGAATCTACAACATCTTGATTTTGTTCCGCTAAATGGCCATTCCAATAACCTAACTAAAAATTCCAAGACAATCAACAATTTTTTACGAAATTGGGGTTATTGAAGTATTGGAGTCCCTTTTGAATTCCTTTATTAAATTGTAAGATTCAATAAGATGTATGTAGCTCATAACCTTTAGCCCGTGACTTTTATAGTCACTTGGTCCAGGGGTTCCAATCCAGTTCTGTCTATTTTCAGCCTGTTACTTTATCGTTGTTAGAATCCCCACCAGTATATCAGCTGGATTTATCATGTGAAAGCTGATCATACTACCAAGTTGGAAGATATGAAACGATAGGTCATCTTTGATCATCATAGTTGTCTGCGTTCTGTCTCCCTTGTTAGGTAGTATAGTAGGGTGTCTGTCTGTCTGCTTTCGACATAGAACTTTGCACATATGTGCGCCAGTTAAAGTCGCCACACTCCCTCCTTGTAGCACACAAAGCAAGAGAAGAAAGTAGGAGAAATGCATATTAGAGACAGTAAACAGAGGTGTGAGACAAAGGAATAGTAATAACGGAGAGCAAAACAGTTTAATTGGAAATCATAAATCACAAGGAGTGGATGCATCTGCGCCAGCCATTGAGAACGATTTTGAGCCATGTCACCAATTGTTTCCAACCATTGGTTTTTACCGTCCCGAGGACCCCAACCACGAAGTCTACATCTTCCTACGTGACTGGCTTCAACTAACTGTTGTGGATTTCATTGACTGATGAAGCCATGTTTTAGTTTGACCGCCACTAGCTAGCTCTTTTCCAGCCTGACCCTATTTCAGCTAACATTGCCCGTCTAGGAAGGCGATGACTAGGCATACGCAACACATGTCCTGACCGTCTCAGTCGATGTAATTTCACAGTCTCGTCGACTGATTTCCCCTCCTTACCTAGCACTCGACGCCTAACCTCAATATTGCTCACCTTATTATACCACTTCACGCGGGAGATAGAACGCAGACACCTATGATCGAAGACAGCTAATCTTTTCATGTCTTCTGCTCTCAATGGCCATGTCTCACAGCCATAAAGGAGGACGGAGCGGACTGCTGCTGAACAGTACACCCGCCCTTTGGTCGATAGTCGGATATCACGTCTACGTCAGAAATGGCGTAAACTGGCGTAAGCGAAACTAGCCCTCTGTATTCGTGCTGAGATTTCGTCGGGGATCAACCTGTTGGAGCTGATGTTACTTCCTAAATAAGTGAAGCGGTCAACGTGCTCTATCACTTCACTTCCTATTTCTAATATAGGAGTCGGTGTAGTATAATAGGGTGAGTAATATTTGAGGTGAGACGTCGAGTTTTAAGTCGGGAGGAAAAGCCAGTTGGTGAGGTTATGAAGCCACATGGATTGAGATGGCTAGGACATGTTTGACACATGCCTAGTTGCGACTAGCATTGGTCAAAACGAAGCTTAGAATCAGTCCGTGGACTCTTTAACGGTTAGTTTAAGCCAAGTAGAGACACGTAGACTGTCTGACTGGTTGAGGTTCTTGGGATTCTAAGAATCAATGGTTGGAGACAAAAGTTTAATGGCTCAGATGCATTTACTCTTTGTGATTTCTCGTATCCGTTAAACCGTCGTGCTTTCCCTTGATAGTATTTCTTTCTACCTCAAATTTCTGCCTAGTACAGTCCTTTTAAATTGCTTTTCTTCCCCTTTTTTGTGCTTCTTTGGAGTTTGGTAACTTGAATTGCTGGACTTCTGTGTGAATTTCAATGTCGAAACTTAGTAAGTCGCGAGGTTTCTCAGGATGAAGTCTGACTGACCGACTGACTGGTTTCAACATAGAATTTTCCACAGATGTGCGGCAGTTCCAGTTGCCACACTACCTCCATGGAGCACACAAAGCAATAGAAGAGAGTAAAGATAGATTCATAAGAGAGAGAGATAATAAACATAGGTATGACTAAGGGAAAAAGAATAGTAATACGGAAGAACAGTAGAGTTTTATTGGATGATATGACAAATCCCGTAGAGTGAATGCACCTGCGACAGCAGTCACCGAGAACGACAGTTTTGAGTTATCTCACCAATTGTCTCCGGCCTTCATTGGTTCTTAACATCCTGAGGACCCCAACTTGTCCACCGGGCAGTCTACACCTTCTTACGTGGCTGGCTTAAACTAAATGTTATGAATTTGATTGACTGATGAAGCCATATTTTGGTTTGACCCCAATGTGCTAGCTCTTTTCCAACCTGACCTATCCTATGTCAGCTAACATTGACCCTCCATTAAGGCGATCGATGGCTAGGCATGCATGCGTAACACATGTGCTAACCATCGCCTCAATCCATGTAACTTCCAAATCTCATCGATTTATTTCCTCTCCTTACTCACCACTCAATATTACTCACCCTACTATGCCACCACCTAACACATGGGAGATAGAACGCAGACACCTCTGGTCAAAGATAGGCAGCTAGGCTTTTCATGTCTTCCACTTTCAATGACCATGTCTCACCCACAGCTAGCTATAGAGAAGGATGGAGAGATCTGCTAAGTAGTACACACGTCCTTTGATAGATATACAGACGGATATCGCGTCTACTAAGCCGGAAAGGGCATAAGTGGATAATTACCAAACGGGGTGAAGCAGGCTGAACGGGGCTGAAACCTGGAAGTTATTGTTTTGAGGTGTGTTACTTA